ACTCTTGTACCCGTAATTTTCTGCTATCATATATATATATATATATATAGCTAGTGAAGACTACATAAAATTAAAACATTAAGTATCAACACCAAGATATGATATAAGCATGCAATTCACAGCCACATCTCTGACTTGTACAAACTTTATGCACGAAAATTAAAACATTAAGTATCAACATCAAGATACAATTGGTGTCCATGACAAGTCATCTAGTACAACTTTCTGCAAATGTGAAACACAAAATCTGAAAATCTTTTTTAAGCAATTTGTGTCACACTCCGGACCCAGGAGTCAGTGGAAACCCCGGGCCCGATGCTTGAGAAAATAAAAAGTAAAATAAAATAAAAAGAAGCCGAAATATGGGTTTAAAATGAACTTCTCTTATAAAAATAGATTCAAATCTTACAACTTTACAATAAATAAATAAAGCTCAATCACTCTCATCTAATTCCCTCAATCGATTAGTCCTTGCCTTGCCCACTAATTCATTTGAAAAATTAAACAGGGTGATGGATGAGCAACCCATTACTCAGTGAGTAGATTATGTAATATGTCAGTCAAGCAATGCCATTTTACACACTCTAAAAAATATCATGAAAAGATACACCAATCCAAATTATATCACATCATCCATTCATATCTCAGTTATCCCTCATAGCATGTAACCAACCACATGACCCTTATTGGCCTTACTACCCTATGTCCCCATGTGGTACATCTATCCCTCAGATACTCCAACTTTGAAGTTCTTATATTCCATGAATAATACATGCTTCATAAATATTCCAATCAATATATATATATTGTAAAAGATTGCACCAAATTAGACATACTTGACTTGAAATAGAGATATATTTGTAAATAGAACAAATCCACGATAATTCATGTTTTCATATTTTATCACAAAATAAGAACTTTTAGAACACATTACATAAATCACTCACCTCGATAATGAGAGCTCTTAAAATAAATTGGCAAGACAACCCATTTACCTATCTTCATGTACTATCACCCAAACCAAGCTCCAAGAGTTTCAACACCACTTTCTCTCATTCTTTCTAATTTCTCATGTTTTGAAACTATAAGGTTATACTCCTATTTATACTGTTTATAGGGATAAGATAACCTTCAATATTAAAAGGATAAGAACATCCAAGTTTATCCAAAAGATAAATATCTTAAAAAGATAAGATCATCCAAGTTATCCAAAAGATAATATCGTCCAAGTTTATTCAAAGATAAATATCTTCTTTTATCCGTTTAAAATACAGGTCTTCAGAATCTATCCTCCGTAAATGAAATTTCGTCCTCGAAATTTATAGCATCTTCCCCAAGACAATTTACTCATAAAAATCTTTGTCACTACATGAATTCAAGTTTATCTAACACAAATGTTTAAACCACAATGTTCCCAAGTGTATCTAATTCCTGGGCTCTAATACCATTCTGTCACCCCTGGACCAGGGAGTCGGTGGAAACCCCACGCCCGGTGCGTGAGAAAATAAAAAGTAAAATAAAATAAAAAGAAACCGAAACATGGGTTTAAAACAAACTTCTCTTATAAAAATAGATCCAAAATCTTACAACTTTACAATAAATAAATAAAGCTCTATCACTCTCATCTAATTTAGCCTCAACCGATTTAGTCCTTGTCTTGCCCACTACTTCATCTGAAAAATTAAATAGGGTGAGGGATGAGCAACCACCGCTCAGAGAGTAGATTATGTAATATGTCAGTCAAGCAATGCCGTTTTACACACTCTAGAAAATATCATGAAAAGATACACCAATCCAGATCGTATCACATCATCCATTCATATCTCGGTTATCCCTCATAGCATGTAACCAACCACGTGACCCTTATTGGCCTCACTGCCCTATGTCCCCATGTGGTACATCTATCCCTCGAATACTCGAACATTGAAGTTCTCATGTTCTATGAATAATACATACTTCATAAATATTCCAATCAATATATATATTGTAAAAGATTGCACCAAATTAGACATACTTGACTTGAAATAGAGATATATTTGTAAATAGAACAAATCCACGATAATTCATGGTTTTCATATTTTATCACAAAATAAGAACTTTTAGAACACATTACATAAATCACTCACCTCGATAATGAAAGCCCTTAAAATAAATTGGCAAGACAACCCATTTACCTATCTTCATGTACTATCACCCAAACCAAGCTCCAAGAGTTTCATCACCACTCTCTCTCATTCTTTCTAATTTCTCATGTTTTGAAACTATAAGGTTATACTCCTATTTATAGTGTTTATAGGGATATGATAAACTTCAATATTAAAAGGATAAGAACATCCTAGTTTATTAAAAGGATAAGAACGTCCCAGTTTATCCAAAAGATAAATATCTTAAAAACATAAGATCATCCAAGTTTATCCAAAAGATAAATATCTTAAAAAGATAATATCATCCAAGTTATTGAAAAGATAAATATCTTCTTTTATCCATTTAAAATACGGGTCTTCTCAATTTGTCATACGCTTGGCATGCATTCAAAGAACAAACAGCCACAAACAATCATATACAAATCAACCCCATATTTTGGTCACCTGGAAACCCATCATTTGGGAAAAACCGGGGTCATCATCTGACCATGCAATCCACTAAGCAAAGAAGATTTTTACAAAAAAATCAATCACAAGCTCTAGAAATCCTAGGTCTATTTAGGAAATGAGCACTACCTCCATGTGCAACCATTTTCTTCAACTTTGTTGAGCTAGAAGCTAGTACTTCATGTAAGTGGCAGCTAGTCCATCAACTCATTCACTCCATGGCACTGTAAGTCAACTCCAATTTGAACTGAACAATGAAATGTAGATTCATAACTAGAGAGGATCGAAACCTTCAAGAAACCTTAATCTTGAAGAAATCAATCAAGAATTTGATATAGACTTAAGAAGATGACTAGTTTACATGAACTTAGGCGCAGATTTCAAAAACCATTTTTAAAAATCTCACATTCAACAACACAGACTTCACAAAGGATGAATTTAGAAAAACATTTTTCAAAAGCTCATAATGAAAACCCATACTTCATCAAGTAGTTGTTGCCTCTTCTTAGCTAAGCTTTTACCCAAAGCAAGTAGGTGAAAATTTAATGCACCTGGCAGCTAACAATTGGTACAATAATAGGACAAAAATTGTTAGGATAGAAAACCTACAACTGGAAATATACTGGACTCACGTGAGAATAAAAATGAGGTAGCAGCACACATGTTACTCAACATATGACTTGTCATCTAGGTTGACTACTCATACCAACTATCATTTAAATGCATGTATGATTTTTACCTTTAGCAATCTTGATTCCATTTGAGCCATAACGAGTTTGAGATCAATTTCTTTAATCATCTTGAGTGTAGACTTAAACTAGCCTAGATTTTTTGAAGTTGATTGATTACATATGAGATTACAAGTTTGTCAAAGAAAACTAAAAACATTAGTTTTGGGTGCCTTTTCATCCCATCATTGTAATCCACATATGTGTTACCAAACCGAACATTATATCTAGAATTCCATTCCAAATATAGGAAGGCTAGACTATATCTAGAATTCCATTCCAAATATGTGTGACCATGGAAAGTATCCCCTTCACTTTGACACCATTCCTAAAAAGAAAAATGACTTAATCGATTGCACTTTTAACATAATAGAGGTGACGATTGTAGTGGTCAATTCTATGGGTATCATTAAGGGCATCCACAAGTGATAATTTGGGATCATTGAACTCATCCACACCTACAATAAAATCCATTGTTATGCAGTTTTAAATTTAGACTTGTAGCAGTAATTTGAGTTTTACATCAAATATATGTGAAACATTGATGATGCAATTATTCAATAGTATAAATAATTACCATTCTCATAACATAATTGAGTGGATCATTATACTTTTCCTTTGTGTAGAGTAAAAGATCTTGAATTCCTCTTGGATAAATATTTAGCTAGCCTGATGCACCATGTACCCCCATTGAAGGTATTGATATTGTTATGATTTAAATTTGTATTTCAAAAACCATTGATCATCCGAATTATAAGGGGTTAATCTAGTGATTTGATGTGTACCTTTGGACCAATGGGGATCCCATTACGCTCAGCTACCACAACACATGTGAATATTAGAATCTAATTAGTTTATGGAACATAAATATCTTGAATTAAGTTCTCAATTTATACTCACATGAAAGATTAACGCCAACATCTATTTTGTAGATTGCGTATACAGAGTTATTTTGAGGTGAATCGCTAGCATAGTAACCAGCATAGTAATTTTGTCCAAGAAAGTCAAATGAACCAATTAGCGACCTAGATTGTTCTTTAGTGAATTTTGGTAATTTTCTTCCAACAAGTGATCGCATGCTTTGCGGATAGTCGCCACTGGTCAATGGCTCCGCAAACCTTAAAAAACATGAACATTTCAAGTATTAACTTGGTATTTGTTTATACCAAAATGAACACCCAATGAATATCAAACACGTGGCTAAACCAGGGCCAGGTGTGCCTTCGGCACCCCTCTTCGGTAACAAACCTACCGATCGCAACATTAGGGCAACCTCACCCCTTCTGACGCCTGGCAGCCTCACAACTGACGCCCAGAGTCCCACATCGAAACTCTAAACAAATTGCACACCTCCCAAGGCCTATAAAAGAGGACATCCATCCCAGCTTGAAGGTAATCAATCAGAACTTACGGCATACTGCCTATTGATCTGCAGTTCAAACTTATTAAACCCGTACTTACTTAAGCATCGGAGAGCCTTCGGCCGGTACCACACCGGTGCCCTAGGATTTACCGAGTGTTTGCTATCTTACAGATCGCACACCTTACCGAGGACATCAGATACCGAAGAGACTAAATCACTAAGTTGCGCGGGAAAGTGTCAGACCATTTTTCTGCGTCAACAGTTTGGCGCCGTCTGTGGGAATCGATAAAATCAACCTACAATTCCTAAACAAAACAAATGGGAACCACTTCAGGACCACAGTTCCTATCGGAGGATGGATTACCGTACGGTATGCCAAGTGGAGCAAGCCCCGCGCTGCACCCTAGCACTCCCTTCTGTAATCCACCTGCGCTTCAGACCATGGTCGAAGCGGAGCTTCTGGCTCAGATGACCGCCCTCCGAAAGGAAATGGCTAAACTCCAAGAACGTAACAATCTTCTTTCGTCCAAAGTGGACGAAACCCAACGGTTGCTTAATCAGCAGGAAACACAAAACGTTCGGACCACCGAATCTTCCCAGAGTTAGCAGACCCCCGGTCGGCAGAGGAAGGGAAAACAGGGGGCAAAGGCAACGCCTGCGCCCTCCAAGCAGCTGGTGGTCCCGGCACCCCAGGACCAACCTCACGTACCGAAGAAGGTGTACACCGAACGGCATAGGTCCCCAATCAGAGTAAACGCCCACTTGAGGGACTCCTGGATGAGGGTCTTGGGGGATAAATCGCCCCTTCGGAGGGCTCAGGGTTTGGATTCGGCGTTGGAATCCGATGATGAGTACATCCCCACCAGGGGCACCGAATCAAGCTACCGTTCGGAAGCTCCCCCGGAGTACTCGAAGGTGAGATCGCCAAGTCCGAGGAAAACTCCCGAAGACTTTGGTTCCGAGGACGTCCCCAGCCGAGACCCCGCCATCCGATTACTCTTCCAAAGAATCCAGAAGATGGAGGAAGACCGAACCCGATCCCAGGTCCCTGACTGGGGAAAACTTCGGCCGGGACCATTTACCGAGCGCATCAAGAAGTCCAGACCGGACAGGGAAGTGCAGCCGTTGCGCATACCCTTCTATACCGGTGTGAAGGACCCTTTGACGCACCTTCACTCCTTCCAATCGGCAGTTGGGTGTAAGGGCCTCGGCGACGAGGGACAATGTCTGCTGTTTCCCTCGTCCCTTACCGGAGCTGCGCTGAACTGGTTCTACCGTCTCGAACCAGGGGCGGTAGACTCCTTTGACGAACTGAAGCAAATTTTCCTCAACCACTTCATGATCCAGACGGATCGTTTGTACTCTGCCGACGATCTGTACACGATTCGGCAAAGGGAGGACGAACCCTTACGGGAATACGCAGCGCGCTTCAGTCACGAGTACTCGAGGTGTCCCGAAACGGACGATAGGGCAGCCTACGGCGCCTTCAAGAGTGGCCTACGGTCCTCTCACTTCCGGTACCTCGTCCACAGTAGCAACTGGCGCACGTATGACGAATTAATGAAACAGGCGGCAGTCCATGCGAAGGCCGAATACTTCAACTCCAAACCCGGGCCTTCGGCTCGGAAGGAGGAATCGGCCACCAAAAGTTATCCAGGCCGAACCGACGACTCGTCGGCAGGACACAAACGGAAGGAAGACCGGGATAGCCGTCAGGGAAACTCAAAGAAAGGACGTGGGAAGTACGGTCGTAACGACCACCGGGCGCCCCTACCGAATCACGATCGTGCTCAGGAAGTCTTCACCCTGCTGAACACGACGTACGAAACCGTTCTAATGAACGAACATGACCAGATCCCGAAGCCAACCAACCGGAAGCCCAATCGACAGGATAATCGGGACACTGGCAAATTCTGCCGATATCACCAGCAGAACAGCCACAATACCGAAGACTGCATCAGTCTGAGGAAGATTGTCGAGCGTCTGATTCGGGAAGGAAAGTTGGATCAGTACCTTGCCAGGCCGCCACAGGCCCCCGCACCGAACGCGAATCGGCAGATCAACATGATCAACACGATCAGCGGTGGCCCCACTCTGGCGGGACCCTCTAACCGTTCAATGAAGCAGTATGTGCGCACCGCCCACTGCCCTCAGGTCTTTGGCATAGAGGAGGATCGGTGCCGAAAGTTGCCGAAGGTGGGATGGGAGCCCATCACATTTAGTGAAGAAGAGGAGGAGGGGATCATCTACCCCCACGACGACCCAATGATCATTCGGGCCGAGATCGCCGACTACGATGTGGGTCGGGTGCTGATTGACACCGAAAGCTCGGTGAACGTGATCTTTGCCGATGCGTTCAAGGGACTGGGGATTGCCGACAGCATGGTCAACTGGCAAATCACGCCTCTCCTCAGTTTTTCTGGAGATCTGGTCCAACCAGTCGGTAGCATCAGTCTGCCCATCGCCTTCGGCGTCGCCCCCAGGAAAACCATGACCTACGATGAATTCCTCATTGTTGACTGCCCAACGGCATACAACGTTATCATAGGGCGAACGACACTCACCAGGGTCAAAGCCCACTTATCTCCACACATGTTGCTGATGAAGCTCCCGACACACAACGTTATCATAGGGCGAACGACACTCACCACGATCAGCTCAGCGCACGGACGTGCTATGCCACGGCCCTTAAGTCGGTAGCCAGCAAACCGCCAATGGAAGCCATGACCTTACAGGGACTACCGAACGGTAACGAACTTATTGACCACCCCAGGGAGGAAAACCCAACGCCGATGGCACAGCCCGCCGAGGAGCTCGAGACCATGATCCTAAACGAGGAATTCCCCGATCGGTGGGTGAAGATCGGCACCAATCTGGACCCCGACCTCTGAAGACAGTTCATCGACTTCTTACGGTAGCATGCGGAAGTCTTCGCCTGGTCTTATGACGACATGCCCGGCATATCACCTGATGTCATCAGCCACAAGCTCAGCATCTCCCCCGCCCACAAACCGGTAAGGCAAAAGCGCCGATCGTACGATGCCAAACGGTACGAGGCAATGCGTGCCGAAGTTGACAAGCTCAAAGCCATCGGCTTTATCAGGAAAGCTACGTACCCTGTTTGGCTTGCCAACTCAGTCATGGTTCGGAAGGCCAGGGGAGGATGGCGGATGTGTCAGGACTATACCAACCTGAATAAGGCTTGTCCGAAGGACAGTTTCCCCTTACCGAGGATCGACCAGCTCGTCGATGCCACCGCCGGGCACGAGCTGCTCAGCTTCATGGACGCGTATTCAGGATACAACCAGATCTTCATGGACCCTGCCGATAGAGAACATACGGCATTCATCACGGATCGTGGGTTGTACTGTTACAATGTCATGCCCTTCGGCCTGAAGAACGCGGGGGCAACTTACCAACGGCTCGTCAACCGGATTTTTGCTAAATACATCGGCGGCATCATGGAGGTATATGTCGACGACATGTTGGTAAAAAGCCGAACGGCAGGGGATCACCTGGAAAACTTGGCCCTCATGTTCGGTATTCTAAAGGACTACCGAATGAGGCTGAACCCGGCGAAGTGCGCCTTCGGTGTATCTTCTGGTAAATTTCTCGGGTTCATGATCAGTCAAAGGGGAATCGAGGCCAATCCCGAGAAAATAAAAGCCATAATCGACATGGAGACGCCGAAGACGCAGAAGGACATTCAGAGCCTTACCGGACGTGTCGCTGCCCTGACACGCTTCATCTCCAAGGCTACCGATAAATGCGTGCCGTTCTTCAAAGTTTTGAAAGAGGGCAAACATCATATAACATGGACTCCCGAATGCGACCAAGCATTTCAAAACTTGAAGAACTACATGAGCCAGGCACCACTGTTATCAAAACCGCTGCCAGGCGAGGTACTACTCCTATACCTCTCGGTATCCAAAACTGCCGTTAGCTCAGTGTTGATAAGGAAGCCGGAGAAGGCGGAGCTACCGATCTTTTATGTCAGCAAGGCGCTCCAGAGCGCAGAGATTCGGTACCCACCCTTGGAGCAGCTAGCACTGGCCCTGGTCGTCTCGGCGCGAAGACTTCGCCCTTACTTCCAGGCTCACGAAATCACAGTTCTGACGAACCAGCCTCTTCGGCAGGTACTCCAAAAGCCGGAAACATCTGGCCGATTGGTCAAATGGGCAATCGAGTTGGGAAAGTTTGACATACAGTTCAAGCCAAGGCCTGCAGAAAAAGGCCAGGCCGTTGCATACTTCATCTCCGAGCTCACGCCTCCTGCTTTATCGGAACCATCATCGCCGAGCGTCGTCCCTACCGCACCAGAGAAAATGGATACCGAACGTTTCGACACTTCTGTTCCTCTCTGGATCCTGCACGTGGACGGCTCGGCAAACCAGCAGGCTGTGGTGCCGGCCTAGTGTTAAACACTCCGGATGGTAGCAAAATCGAGTACGCCCTCCGATTCAACTTCCGAACCTCCAATAACGAGGCAGAATATGAGGCCCTCCTGGCTGGCCTTCGGCTAGCCCAGAGCATGAGCGCGAGGCAGATCAGCATTCACAGCGACTCCCAGCTCATAGTAAATCAGATAACGGCAGACTTCGCAGCAAGGGATGCCTCCATGTCAGCCTACCTATCGGCAGCTCACCAACTACTACAAAAATTCCAGGCCTACGAGATACGGCAGATCCCCAGGTCGGAAAATAGCCATGCCGACGCGCTCTCACGATTGGCCTCGGCCATAAATGACAAGATCGGAAGGAAGGTACCGGTGGAGATATTATCCCAACCGAGTACAACCGCCGCTGAGGTATGTACCGTTCGGTACGAAGACACATGGATGTCTCCAATCTATGCCTACCTGACGGCCGGAACCCTTCCTACCGATAAGTCCCAAGCTCGGAAACTTCGCTACCGATCGGCAAGATACACAGTCATCAACGATGTTCTGTACAAACGGGCTACACGACGCCGTATTTAAAATGCTGACCAAGGAGCAGGGGGACTACATCCTTCGGGAGGTCCACAGCGGAATCTGCGGTGACCATTCTGGATCCCGATCGCTCGCACACAAGGTTTTCCGGCAGGGTTATTTCTGGCCGACTCTGCACCAGGATGCGAACACACTAGTCAAGAGGTGTGACAAATGCCAGCGGTTCGGTAGTGTCCCTCATATTCCTGCCGAGCCACTGTCACCGATCGTGAGCCCATGGCCGTTCGCCCAGTGGGGACTAGATCTAATTGGTCCGATGCCAGAGGGCAAGGGTCAGGTCAAATACGTTGTTGTTGCCGTAGACTACTTTACCAAATTGGTAGAAGCCAAAGCCCTAGCGACAATAACGGCAGCCAGAGTCGAAGATTTCGTTTGGACGAATATTTGTTGCCGATTCGGCATCCCCTACGCCATCGTCACGGATAACGGCAGGCAGTTTGATTCGGAAGTCTTTAGGGAATTCTGCACCCGACTCAAGATCAACCTGTTCTTTGCTTCGCCAGCACACCCCCAATCGAACGGACAGGTCGAAGCCATGAACAAAATTGTCAAGAAGCTGTTGAAACGGCAGCTTGACAAAGCCAAAGGAGCCTGGCCGGAAAAGCTTCCGGAAGCGCTATGGGCCCATCCGGACATCCTACCGAACGGCAACTGGGGAAACACCATTCTCTATGGCTTTCGGTTCAGAGGCAATAGTCCCAGTAGAAATTGGAGAGCCCTCCTACCGAACGGAAACCTTCGCACCGAAGGCAAATGAGGAAGCACTCGCTTTGAGCCTCGACCTGCTCGAAGAACGCCGAGCACGAGCCAACCTTCGGAACGAAGCTTACAAGCAACGCGTCTCTCGGTACTACGACTCCAGGGTCAGATCCCGCTTTTTCCGAATCGGAGATTGGGTCATGCGGAAAGTCTCTTTGGCAACCAAGAATCCCACGGAAGGAACCCTCGGACCTTCCTGGGAGGGACCCTACGAAATCATCGGTATCCAGCGATCGGGGACTTATCGACTCAGAGACTCCAACGGAAAGACCCTCGGTCATCCTTGGAACGTAGAGCATTTGAAGTACTATTTCAAATGAAGTCACCTTGCCTACGGCAGGGTCACGGAGGAGTCACAAAAGCCTTCGGCATCTCTACAAGCACAGCCTTCGGCATCATAGCGTTTCCTAGCCAATGGCGGTTTCTAAATTGTAAAACGCACTCCTAATTGTACTCCTGCCTTCGGCAGCTTATCAATGAAAGGGCCTTTGTTGTACCGTTCAATCTCTCCATTTTTGTTCAAAAAAAGATACGGTAGGGACCACCGGTCGCAGTAAACTACACACTTTGGCATCGCCATTATCCTACCGATTAAGGGTCAACGTAGACTTTATTGACCTTTATTGGCTTTCGGTAATTTCGGGCCGTTGCTTTGCCATCGGCAAGCACGCCTGATGGTTTCAAATCCCTAACACTTGGAACTTTCGCTTGAAAGGAAATGTTATTGGCCAACGGCCAATGACCTTTGTTTAAGAGCCTTCGGCATTAAACAGAAAAATTCCTAAGTACGTTACCGATTCATAAATAAGATGCAATTAACTTAAAATGAAAACATAATTTTAATAAAAACATGCCCACGGCATTAATTATCCAAACAAAAGATGCCAACGGCATTAGAGTTGCAACAAAATTACAAAAATGCCTACGGCATCAAAGTTAAATTAAAAATACATAAAAAGCAGCTTTTGACAGGGCCCTCCATCAGGCGGCAGCTTCATCGGCATCAGGGGCAGCACCATCGGCTTCGGCAGCACCCCCTTCGGGATCAGCTGGGACCTCCTCTGTCATGTCCTCCCCCTCGTACTCCTCGACCATTTCTTCGGTTATGCCTTCAGGAAGGGGGGGGGGATCGGCAATGAAGTTGAGGTTGAGCTTTTTCCCGGGGTTGTACCGCTTGAAACGGTAGAGTAGGTCCGCCATTTCCGAGCCTACCTCCTTGTCCAGCAAGGTAGAAAACTCGGTAGACCGACGGTAGCCCTGAATCGCCTCCTGAACGGCAGCCTCGATCTCGGAAGCCCTGGCCCGCTCGGACTCCTCGAAGGCCACCTGGACCGCCTCCTTCGACTCCAAAGCCTCCTTCGCCGTCAGCTGCGCCGCCTCCAAAGCCGCCGACATCTCGCCAAGCTTGGCCTGATAAACCTTTACCTGCCGTTCGGCAGCCTGCATGTCCTTGGCCAAGTTTGCCTGGGCTTGGATGGCCTTGCCAGCTTCGGCAACCTTCGCTCTGCCGTCTTCGTATGCCTTCTTCGCCTTCTCAGCGCATTAATGGCTCGCTTAACGCAGAGCCACATGTCCATTGATGCCTGCACAGCAAACGAAAACGTTAGATGGAAAGAGAAATGAACGGCAGGGAAACGCTAAAAACAATAGGCACTTACCGAGGCTTGGAGACGGAAGGCGCGGCCAACCTCCTCCCGAAGTAGCTTCTTCGGCAGGTCCTCGATCTCGGACAGCTCCATCTGTGAACCGAGGATCATATGGTTCACAAACTGTACCGTCTTCGAAGGACAGGCCAAAGTAACAGCTTTGGAAGGCGCCTCGTCGTCCTCGGCAGAGAAGATGGCCCGAGCAGGCTCAGTTTGTCGCCCGCGTTTTGGAGCGGGTCGGCATCAAGGTCCACCGTGAACGACCTCTTGCCTGCAGCTTTGGAGGAGGTACCCTCGGTAGGCGGAACTCGGCTGGGGGACGGACCAGCTTCAGTAGCTTCGGCACGCGCCGACTCGGCATGCATCTGGCGATGGCGCTCGTTGAGTGTCAGATCATCAGGGTCCACGCCTCCCGAAGGCGCCGGTGCCGTTCCGGCCTGCCGCCCCTTCTTCTTCCCCCTGCATGCCGAGCATGAGGCGTCTCTTCGAGGGCTCGTTCATCCTCTTTACCTCGGCAGCCTTCCTCTCTTCGGTCACTGCAAGAAGGAGTCGGTCAGATTCGTCGATATACATTTTGAACTGTCAAAATGGAGAAGTATACTTACTCTCGGCAGGGTTGACAAGCTAGGCCTTGATGAGATTGGCGGTGAAGAGAAACTTCGGGTACACCCTCTCAACGGCAGGAACCTTCAGCCTAACCCTTTCAATCTGCCGGACCTCCGCCTGTGTGGCGCTCGGCTGCTTCAACTTGCCTGCACAAAACCAAACGGAATCAGCATTAAAAGAAGGAAAGCCAGACTGCAAGCCCTACCGAACGTAGGATGGCCTACCGGCGATTTGGAACGTAGTTGGAATGTGGAAACGGACGGGATGTCCCGGGGGCAACTCCCAGTCACCGGACAAAAGCACCCGCCGTTTCCTCCACGTCTTCTGTGAGGTCGGGACGGCATTGACGAAGTGACCGCGCTCGATAGCCTTCAGACAATTGGCCTGGACCCAGCCCCCGTGATCGGCACACTTCGACTTCGTGACACTGTACAGGTGGGAGAACTGCTCGTACGAAGGTTCTCCCTCCCCAGCCATGCCGAAGGCTGTGACTACCCCCATCAGCGCCACCCAGAAGTTGGGATTGAACTTGCCGGGAGCGTAGCCTATCTGCGCCAAGATCCTCTGAACGGCGGGCTGCAGAGGGAGCCTCACCCCTTGCAGAAGCACGTCCGTGAAAAAGACGACTTCGCCGTCCTTCGGACTGGTTAGAGATTCGGTAGGATTTGGAATCCTCATACCTACCGAATCAGGAATGAAGTACTCCGCCCGAAATTTCGCAATCTCCCTTTCGGTGATTCTATTGGGCTCCAGATAATCCACACCGAAGACAAGCTCCTTCGGAACCCCCATCGGCACCCTAGGATTGCCGGGGTAGACTACGGATACCCTCGGCCGGTTGGATGGTTCGGCAGCCGGCTCACCACGGCCGGAAGTGGAGGCCTCTGGCTGGTGACTACCGCTCGCCTCCCCAGGGGCGCCAAGCCCCACGTGGCGACCGTCGCTATATACGATAGACAACGGTACCGAAGCGGTCATAAGCCCTTTCCGATGCCATGTATGGGAACTGGGCTGGGCCTTTCGCCGAGTATCTCGACATCGGTATCACTCCCCTCCTCGGCATCAGGCCCTGCCGCTTCAACGTCGGAGTCAAAGAGACCGTCCGATGACTCCTCGTCGAATGCATTGGGCTCGCGCTCGGAGAATGACTCGCTATCAGACATCTACAAAAACAGGAAAAAGGGAAACTAAGGCTCATGCCGGATGCTATCCTACCGATCCCTACATCACTACCTATGGCAACTAGACTACCGAATGGAACCCTATGGCCAGTCTAGTTCAAACCAAGGAAGGACGTAAACTCTTAAGGTATGTAAAGAGGGAAAAGTAGGGCTACCGAACGGTACCTTTGTTTAGCTTCTGGAAATAAACGCAGACTGCTTCAGATCGCCTGGACACGAATCGCCCTTCCTACCGTTGGCGGTACCGGAAATCGCCTGGTTGTCGTTAGCTCTCGTCGGAAATCGCCTGGTTGCCGTTAGCACTCGTCGGAAATCGCCTCAGATAGAGCTCTCACTTCTCACTAGATGCAAAGTGAATTGGCCACCGGGGTCATCCCTATTTATAGGGGGAATTTGACAACGGTACTCCTCGAAAAACCAAACGGCGCATTAATGCGCCGCGCACCATCATTACTTTCGCCACGTGTCGCTCATCCTATGGGGAGCAGACGGCACGCGAGGTGCGGAAGTCGAAGCGCTCAGATGTCCCTTCACCCGTCAGCTCGACGCGACCTTCTGACTTCGCCAGCATCGGCCTCTGAACTGATGATGCCGGAAGGAACAAAGTTTGGTCCCTTCCCCAGGCGGGGTTACCGAACGGTAAGGCCGTGTTTCCTCCCGAAGACAACTTCAAATCCCCTTCCGAGGACTCTCGTAAGGGGACTTGGGGGACTCCTGTTTATACCAAAATGAACACCCAATGAATATCAAACACGTGGCTAAACCAGGGCCAGGTGTGCCTTCGGCACCCCTCTTCGGTAACAAACCTACTGATCGCAACATTAGGGCAACCTCGCCCCCTCTGACGCGTGGCAGCCTCACAACTGACGCCCAGAGTCCCACATCGAAACTCTAAACAAATTGCACACCTCCCAAGGCCTATAAAAGAGGACATCCATCCCAGCTTGAAGGTAATCAATCAGAACTTACGGCATACTGCCTATTGATCTGCAGTTCAAACTTATTAAACCCGTACTTACTTAAGCATCGGAGAGCCTTCGGCCGGTACCACACCGGTGCCCTAGGATTTACCGAGTGTTTGCTATCTTACAAATCGCACACCTTACCGAGGACATCAGATACCGAAGAGACTAAATCACTAAGTTGCGCGGGAAAGTGTCTGACCATTTTTCTGCGTCAACAGTATTATCTGGCGTATACTCTCCAATAACGGGTAAATATTAAATGCATAAGTAACTTCTTAATATACTTACCATCCAAACATGAAATCCAAAGATCGTATCGCAGCATTTTTATTTTGTATTACTTCCGAAAGGGGCACGAACAAGTGTGACACCAATGTTTACCCTATGACTCCTCTTTGAGATGCTTGCACAATAATATCAAGTTTAGTTAATTTAGAGCCATAAAGTGGTAAAATACTCCCCACCCTATTGTATCTTCGTACTACTTACTCATAGATATTTATTCTTGTAGAATTTTGTGACAACTGCATGAGTAAGGAGTAGGTGATGTGTCACCAAATATGCTCTAGCTGGCATGTTGCATGGCCTTTATATAGAGGAAGTACGGCTGCGCATGAGAATAGTAAGCAATGATGAAATAAATTTCTTTGTAAACCATACGTGCATGCAATTAGAAGGGTACAAAGGGAAAGTTTCATATTTCAATGATAGTCAAACATGGAATAGTAGCCGCTAATTCCTAATTAACCACATGCGTCAATTTTGAAAAGAATTTGACGGACCATTTGTTTTGTTGACATTGTAAACCCAAAATATTTGTGCATAATATGTGATTTCTTTTTTGTTCAACGAACTAAAATTTTTAGTTTTATTAAGTTTCTTGAATACAAGCCGCATAGTCTAAACTACAAGGATTGGGGGTTTTTTTACACACACACACACACACACACACGTTATTAAGATGTCATGAATTCGAATCTGAGACTACTGGTCTGCAATTCAAAACCTTTTTTAATCGAGCTAGACCTGATGGGTTAATTTTACTTGAAGTCTACATCAGAATGCCATCTACAATTGGTTGGGTTTTCAAAAATTTAAACACTTTGTACCCAATTATTATATAATGCTACTTTTTGTTGATTTATTGTTTCTCTTCCAGCGTAACTGTACCCAAAAGAGGATATATCATACAAGAAATTAGTGACTTATTGGATAATTATTCAAAACGATTTGCCTTCATGTACAGTATTCTATAAAAGGAATGTACAGCTATTACGAGAAGAAAAGTCTAGCAAAAGAAACATCTTCAAGGAAAGCTTTATTACAAGAAGAAAAATAGCATTAAAACCAACGGAAAGGAAGGGTAAAGAAAAAGTCATTTCTGCACATTTATCTTTAAGGATGAGTTTGACAATAGATATGCTTACTATTTGGATCAGATTGGATCGGAGTAACACGAATGGGAGCAAGCATGTGTCGCTCCAAGAATTCCATAATTGAAGAGTTTATTAACCATATGAAATCAAAGAATGAAAATGAAGCAAACTCAACCGCTATGTTTCTTCCCATAATAAGCTTTCGTTCAAGGCATTTTTTTTAATGACTCGGCTGTGAATATAATTTATTTCTTGAAACAGAGTGATATTTTGAAGAGCAAAGAAGAACGTGGAGAATTAATGATAATTTTCATATGCTACTGCTTGAACAAGTCTATGGCTAGCGTAATTGCTAAACTCATCCTTACATATTTCTTGTCAAACTTATGCCTTCACTGTTCCACACAATTCTCATAGCAACTTTCTTTTCATCCTCTTCCAAAATAACCTCAAGATCGTTTTGACCTTTTAAATGAGATCATTGCTGGACATGAAGGACAATTTAATGTAATTATTTGGGTAGAAAATTTGAAAGTTTTGAAAGTTTTGATTCTTGACAATGGTCAAACTTTTGAATATATTTTTCTAACTAGATTTATTTATTTATAAATATGCCACTAATTCCTTATTACGATATATCCTTTTTGTAGGTACAATTACGCCGAAGGAAGTGAAAGAATAAATCAACCCAAAGGAAGTGCCTGAAGCTCAAGTATATTGGGTACATACGTAGAGTTTTAATTGTGTGTCAAATTTGTTTCCACAGTTTGACCCATTGGTTATAAGAGACTAAATCAGACTTAGCGGCTCTACTCACACAAAAACTCATTCAAATATGAAAGCTTTCATTTCCCTTTGTACCATGACATTCTACGTAGTTGCCCCCTCAAACCCATTCAATGCCCATCTGTGTTTTGTTCTCATTTGCAGCACGTACTTCCTCCTCTATATAAAGGCCATGAAGCATGCCAGCCAGAGCCAACTTATACTTATCAAGATTATTACCAACAAAAAAACCTCAAGTTATGGCAATGCAATTACGATCTTTTCTCTTAGGCGCGCTGCTACTAATTGGCTTTGCATTGACAAATAGCAAAGCAGATATTAGATCTCCACCCACGCATTTTGACACTGCTTCTCTCAATAGGAGCAGTTTTCCAGAAGGGTTCATATTTGGCGTAGGTTCTGGATCTTACCAAGTAAGTCCTTCCTTCTTCTAGGCTTTAATTTAATTTCTCTTATGATTGGTTAGGGTATTCTTTCAAATTCAAACCAGGCATCGATCCTTGCAAGAATATTGACATCTTCTTCATTGCGTCTCTTGTGTATTTCAGTATGAAGGTGCTGCAAACGAAGGTGGTAGAGGACCAAGCATTTGGGATACCTTCACCCACAAATATCCAGGTCTGTCCAATCAAATCATGAATTAGTTAAAATAACAAAATGGTATTACTTTACTCTTATGCTCTAAATATTAATTAAATTTTCATGATTTATTGCAGAAAAGATTAATGATAGCAGTAACGGAGATATCGCTGTTGATCAATATCACCGCTATAAGGTTCATGACCCAATGTGCACATATTAAATTTTGAAGCATGAAGAAAACTCTGGATATTGAAGATAACCTCCCCATAATGTTTAGCTCTTTCTCATAAAATCTTTTTTTATTATGCAATGTAGGAAGATGTGGGGATTATGAAGAATATGGGGTGGGATGCTTATAGATTCTCTATCTCATGGTCAAGATTATTACCAAGTAAGTTCATCCACATCCTCACATTTGGTTGTCACCATCGTCAATATTTCTGCCTTCATGTTGATTTTAGCTTAAGTAATGTGTCCAAGTTGTCTACCGAATAATATAAAAAAGATTTTTGTTCAGTTTCGACATATAGTCCAACTTTTTTAAAGTTCAGTTTAAATTGTATCGGTGCACTTATTTCGTTATGTTCTGGTTTTGTTTTAATCATTAGATGAAAGTTAAGTGGAGGAGTGAACAAGGAAGGAATCAAATATTACAACAATCTCATCAATGAGCTCTTACGCAATGGTGAGTCATCCCACCTCACATGATCAATAATTTATAAAATTGCAGTTTCATGCACTCATAAAAAAAAAAAAGCTCGTTTTATCAAACTTATAACTCGCTTTTATTGATCATGCCATTTATAGGTCTAACGCCATTTGTGACACTCTTTCATTGGGATCTTCCCCAAACTTTAGAAGATGAATATGGTGGTTTCCTAAGCCCTCATATCATGTAAGTGAAGAAATTAGTCCTCTGAATCGTATTAATAATTCAATTAATAAATACAATTATGACATTGACATTCTTAAATGTGTATATACAGCAATCATTTTCAAGATTACGCAGAACTTTGTTATAAGGAATTTGGTGATCGAGTAAAGCATTGGAGCACATTGAATGAGCCATATACCTTTAGTAACTTTGGTTATGCACTCGGGTCTCATGCGCCGGGACGATGCTCTACTTGGCAACAACTAAACTGCACCGGGGGAGATTCATCTACTGAACCATATTTGGTAACACACCACCTGCTCCTTGCACATGCAGCTGCCGTAAAATTGTACAAAAATAAATATCAGGTACAATTCAACAGTTTTTTTGTTTGTCATAATATTGGATTCTAAGTTGTAACAAGAGAGCGACTACTTTACTTTTTTGTGACTCTAAAACAAACAAACTAAATGTTCTTGTGCAGGCCTCTCAAAATGGAGTGATAGGGATAACACTGGTGTCACATTGGTTTGAGCCCCTATCAGAAGAAAAAGAAAATAAGAATGCTGCATTACGAGCTTTGGATTTTATGTTCGGATGGCAAGTGTATTTTGAATTTACTTATGAATATATAATATTTACTACTTACTAGCAAGCAATGTATATTATAATGTCAAGTTAATGCTTGAAATTTTTACATTCTTGTAGGTTTGTTGAGCCATTGACAAGTGGTGACTATCCTCAAAGCATGCGATCTCTTGTCGGAAGCCGGTTACCAAAATTCACGAAAGAACAATCCAAGTTGCTAATTGGTTCATTTGATTTTCTTGGACTAAATTACTATGCTGGTTACTATGCAAGCGATGCACCTCAAAATAACTCTGTATACGCAAGCTACACAACAGATGCTGGCATTAATCTTTCATGTGAGTAAAATTCAGAATTTAATTCATGCATTTTAAGTTTATGGACTAATTAGATTCTGATATTCATATGTGTTGTGGCAGCTGAGCGTAACGGGGTCCCTATCGGTTCAAAGGTACACATCAAATTACTAGATTATACCTTTAGGATTTTGACCATTAATCGTTTTGCACTTACAAATGTGACTCTTAAAAATCTAAATATCTTCAAATTTGGGTGCAGGGTGCTTCGGAATGGCTAAATGTTTATCCGCAAGGAATTCAAGATCTTTTACTCTACACAAAGAAAAAGTATCACAATCCAGTCATTTACATTACTGAAAATGGTAATTATTTCCAGCCTTAAGTAATTGCATGATCAATGTTTCACATACCTTTGGTGTAACACACACAAGTAGTACAAAGTCTCTAAATTTAAAATGTATTATATTGTAGGTGTGGATGAGTTCAATGATCCGAAATTATCACTTGCCGAAGCCCTTAATGATACCCATAGAATTGACTACTACAATCGCCACCTTCATTATGTTCAAAGTTCTATTGAGTAAGTGTATTAACAAATTCATTTAGAATATATATATATATATATATATGTATGTATATGGTCTAGTTTTAGATTTTGAGTTATTGATTCATATTATTGACATAAATATATTTAATTTCTTTTAGCAATGGTGTCAAAGTGAAGGGATTCTTTCCATGGACGTTGCTAGACAACTTTGAATGGAGTTCGGGATATAGTGTTCGATTTGGTATTACCTATGTGGATTACAACGATAGGCTT